CCTCTCTGGATGAAGGGGTGTTACGCCAACTCCTGACGAATTTTACATTTCATATTTGTTCCACCTCTGTGAAATACCTGGGGGTTCATCTTTCTGTTGACTTGACCCAATTATACGCCCTCAACTATGATCCCCTATTTCGGAGAACTACCCTGGATCTGACCATGTATGACCGTAAGACAATAACCTGGTTGGGTAGGATACACGAACTCAAATGGATGCTATCCCCAAATTACTTTACCTCTTCCAGGTTCTCTTGAAATTAATTTGGGGCTCGTCGTGCCCCCATGTGAATGACAAAACTCTGTCTTTGCCCAAACGCAGGGGTGGTGCTGGTGCCCCGGAGCATACGTCTTTATCATGCAGCCTCACTTCTGATCCACGTCACGGACTGGTTTCATAGAGCTGCCGACAAACAATGGGTTCATCTTGAAGGGGTGATGAAAGATTCAGACCTGCAGGCCATTCCTTGGATCTCCCCTATCTCTTGTGATCTGCCTCCTTCTCCTACTTTGACTCTGCATACTCTACGCTTGTGGGATCAGTGGGTCTCCAACTATGGGATTTCCTCCTATGTAGGGCCTATGACTCCACTTTTTAACAACCCTAACTTCCCTCCAGCGATGCATAGTTTCTCCTTTGGGCAATGGACCAGAGACTCCCACATGCACTTGGTGGTGGCCAGCCAAGATTCACAGTCTTGGATCCCTCTGGCAGTGGTATGTGGTCAGCGGATAGACCATTTTGATCCTTTCTCTCATCTCAGCAACCTGAAGTTTTGGAAGCAGAGCTTTTGACTTTTCTCCTGCGATCATCTCCCCCTTCCCATACCATCTCATTACTTTATTCTCTCCTCCTTCCCCTCTCCGGACCTACCAGGGTACGCTTGGTCTGGTAACGGGAACTGGGTATCCCCATTAGTACTGAGGAATGGGAGAAATCGTTCACTCTCTTTCATGCTCTATCACCAGTAAGGCCCACAAGAAGAATCTGAAAATCCTGAACAGATGGTACAGGTGTCCCTCGGTAAGCCATCGTTTCTATCCACAGGTTCCGGACTCTTGTTGGCGTTGTCAGACTTTCCCGGGCCATATGACTCATATCTGGTGGAGCAGTCCTCCTATTAAGGAGTTCTAGCAGAGAGTACTGGATGTCTACCGACGAGTGACAGTGTCAGGATCCAGAGCACCCCCAGGTGGCGCTGGAGCCGGGTGCTGCAGTTCCTGTGCTCGCCTGCGGGTGTCTCCAGCAGCCAGGAACTGTAAGGAACCTGCAGCTCCGGTACTCACCTGCGGGTGTTCCCCAGCTGTGACTGCTCATCCCATCACCTGGTGCTTCCTGGGAGGGTATTTAGGCCCTCCCTGCAGTCAGGAAGCTGGGTCAGTATTGTGTTGCTAACCTGACTGATGCCCATGTCCTGAACCTTGCTCCCTATCTGAAAACCTGTCACCGACCCGGCTTGTTACCCGACCACTCTCCGTTGAATCCTGTACCGCGCTGCCCTCCTGTTGTTGACCCGGCTTGCACCTGACAACTCTTCATCAATCCTGTTCCTGTACCGCGCTGCCCTCCTGTTAACGACTTGGCTTGTACCTGACCACTCTTCTGGTATCCCGAGGCCTGCTGTACATCTGCAGGCCTGTTACCCCTCTTTGTTGGGTTTGTAGTTTTGTTGATGTGGAACCAATAAACTGTGCATATAACCCTACCCTGTGTGGGCATATTAATTTGGTCATCCTGTGTGGGTACCTGCATGTGGTGTGAGAACGCCTGTGCAGGGTACCCTGACAGACAGATTCTGAGATTTCTAATGACCCCTAGATCACTTTGTTTACTATGGTACCAGGATCCCTCAAATCAGTGAAAAGAGGTCTCTTGTGGCACTTTTACGGCTGCGAGGGCGGTCATTCCTCGTCAATGGCGTACGCCTGTTATTCCTACCCTGGTGGAATGGACTGTGGAAATAGACCGTATTGCGAACCTGAAACAAGTGATGGCTGATGAACATAATGCCAGAGACAAATACATTGTCACTTGATTTCCGGGCCTCCGATACGTTCTCAAATGTGATTATCTCATAGGGTCTCTAGGCTTCTTCAGGATATCTGTGGCGTTCTGGCGGGGGGTGGTGGACTGGAATTCCTTGTCTCTAGCTTCCAGCATCTTTTCCTGAGTTCTTTCCTCTTCTTGGCCCTGCTATGTTCTTCTGCTCTTCTTCCTTCCTCCCTCTTTGTTTTACATATATCCCTTCACCTGTTTTTCTCCTGGTTTATCCCCTTTATGGTCTTTTTCTTCCATTTTTCTGCTGTCTTTGTTTCCTGCTTCCTATTCTTGTCTTTACCATCTTACATAGTTACATAGTATTTGAGGTTGGATAAAGACATATGTCCATCAAGTCCAACCTAGTGTGTGTGTGTGTGTGTGTGTGTGTACCACAGACCTCCCTCCATCTAGATCTCTACTTACCCCCCTCGTAAAAAGTCAGTAGGTTAGTCTGACCGGAACGGTCTTTCCTAAACCCATGCTGGTTATCATTAACTATACCATTATCCCGAACAAATTCTACCAAATAGTCTTTAATCATTCCCTCTAACAGTTTACAAACTACCGATGTAATACTAACTGGTCTGTAATTCCCAGGTTGGCATCTTGCCCCCTTTTTGAATATTGGAACTACCGTAGCCCTACGCCAGTCACTCTGAACTCTACCAGTCATTAGAAAGTCCTTAAAAATTAGGAATAATGGACTTGTTATAACCTCGCTTAGTTCCTTAAGTATCTTGGGGTGCAGGTTATCTGGTCCCAATGCTTTATTTGCATTAAGTACATTAAGTCTTTGTTGTATCCTGGTTTCCGTCAACCAATTGGCTATATTTTGTGATGAACTCTGTGTTTTATGATGGACGTCAGACCAGTTTCCCTCCTGAGTGTATACTCTTTTCTACGAGTTTTTCTACGCACTGTAGTCGTTCATACGGGCTGGCATGCCCCGGATTGGGTACTGTCCCTTCGGACGCTGCCCTCTAGGAGCCAGGATTTCCAAGGCACTTAGGGGGTCATTCCCCTTACATTATACAGGATTAGAAATCAGCATTACGTTGTATTAGTGCTACTTGCCTTGGTAGTCTGCTGATACGTGTTGGGTTACATGACTTGTACTTTTTATGCATTTCCAATGCTTTTGTACAGTGGCTTTATTCTTTATATGTTTTACTTATCTGTTTTTTTATGAAAACGTTAATGAAAACTTATTGGACTAAAATGTTTAGGCACATGGAAAGCATTTGATTTTATTTTAAACATTTAAAATTTTCAAGTGTATGTATAGGTAGATTAGGGAATGTTTAAAAGCCCTGCCAAATTATATTTTTTGCTGTCCATGTCCCATTGGGGAAATTTGTCTTCATGTTCAAGGGGGCGCAACAGGTATTTAGATGAAATCTCTGAAAGTTTGGGCGCAATTCTCCTTTTAGATAGTTGTGTCTCCGTTGGAAGATTTTCATTAGTGGGGACAACTATAAAAGTTTGCAGATTCTCTCCTTTCTAGAAAACAATGGCCACTAGTACAAACAGAGGGGTGAATCTCCCCAGTGGTGACATAGCAATAAAAACTAGACAGAGGCTAGGCAACCTCTGCACTCCAGCTGTGGTGAAGCTATAAATACCATCACGCCTCTGCAAGTCATGCCTGTGGCTGTCAAAGTCTTGCAATGCATCATGTAACTTGTAGCGCCACAACAGCTGGAGTACTAAGGTTGCCTACCCCTTGTGTAAACCTTCCCCACTCTATCCAAAACTAAAATTAAAAAAAAGATTTTTCTAGGAGATACACTTTAAAACTGAAATACAGGAAAAGAGCCAGGTAATCATGTATGTGGGCTGTTTAACCTTCCCCTAAAAATTGTTACTTTGTCTACACAGTCCTGAGATTTACACAGCCCTTCCAAGCATCGCAACCAGGTAGGGTGACCCCGCTTCTGTCCACTGCAGTTAAGTAATACAACTTCCTACTAGAGCTGCAACAACTAATTGAATAAACCGATAAAGATAATTGTTGTCAGCGATTTTGATCGATTAGTTGGTCAGTTGGGCTGCTTGTAGCTCCTTACACCCTCCCTCTCACTGACGCTGGCAGGCATGCCCACACCACTCCTGGACTCCCCTTGAATGTGTTGACAAGCCGGGCCATCCAGAGAAAAGAGATGAGATGCCACGGAACTGGGGACACACTTGTCGGGAACTGTAATGACTGATGAGGACTGCTCAGAGCGTGTGGAACCTGTGCCAGCAGGGAGCTTTTGAAATTATCTGCCAGAATGTACTGCAGTAACAACTGTCATCCTCCATGTCAGCCTCTTCCCCCCCTCCACTCCCCCCAGGCTGTTCAGAGTACATTGGATTGGTTGAATAGCCATGTGCAGCCAGTGTAAGTTGTGTGTACTGTGCGTTGTGTACTCTGTGTGTAATGTGAGTGCAATGTGCACTGTGCGTGCTATGTGTTATATCTGTGCTGTGTGTACGTGCAGTGAGTGGAGTCCGTGACATAATAACTGGGGTGAGGGGGAGACAGTGCAGCTGCCCCGGGTATAAAGATGGGAGCGATGGCCAGGCAGCAAACACACTGCACACGGAACTGCCCGCAGCAGAGGCAAATGGCAGTATGTGAAGCTTTCCGTTTTTTAGCTAATTGGCTAACCTGTATGAATCCACGCGACAGGACGTGGATTCAAACGTGCAGCCAATCGGATTCCCCCAGACAAAAGCGTCTGGTGAAAGGAGTTCACTTAGAACTTGTGCAGGAAGGAAAACATTACCATCTGTGACATATGTCAGGGATGAGAGCTATGGAGAAAGAATGAATACAGTATATGTCCATTAAATAAACAATTAAATAATTATTCAATATTTAAGTATAGTGCATAAATATTTTATACCAGCTATTTTTTAGATCTAAAAATCTATGAGACTCTATCAAAAGGTAAAATATGAACAGATCTTACAACTCTGGAATTGATAACGGATCCCAAATCTGGAGCCTGGTAGATCACTCCTGCGATGATGTAGTAATCAGCCAGTGGTATAACTGCAAATAGAATTATAGGTTGGATTGTTGTATTAGCACACATTCATAAATCTTAATTTGCTACTATGGCTGTAATTCTGCCCTACAGCAGCATTTCTGTATCAGTAATGCCATCATTATAACCACTTAGATGTCAGATATCATTAGTACTATTAAACCTCCACCTACACTGCCACAGTACTGTGTTAGTTGTAACAGATATGACTGTACAGAGTGTTGTCGGAACTATTTTAGATCGGTGGCATTTACAGTTCTGGTATAAGCTCATGGTCGCTCTAGCGACCATGAACTTATACCAGAACTGTTCCCCGGACTGTCCCGTTCAAATTAATAGCTGTCTTCAGCGGCTCACAAGCTACTAACAAAAATACAGCTACTAACAAAAAAACAGGTGCCCCCCCCCCGCCAGCCGTTGTCATCCTATCAGTTTCCGGATGACAGCGGCTCTGTGCGTGGCCGAACGGGGGATTGATAAAAATCATTGATCGTCTAATCACTCCGGTGTTTGTAAATAACTGGGGACAGATAGTACTATGTGTCCCCAGTTATGAATGAACAGGCTGTGATTTACATCACTTCCTGTTCATTTATGTCAGTTTCCCAATGACAGCGGCTCTGTGCGTGGCTGAACGGAGGATCGATAAATATAATTGATATTTACCGATCCTCTGTGCAGCACAAACACTGGAGTGATCGTCTGATCCCTCCAGTGTTTGTAAATAACTGGGGACACATAGGAGGTTATTCACAAAGCTGCCGAAGGCATCCATGTGAATAACCGGCCCGAAGTGAAATGAGCCGAACGCTGTTCGGCTATTCACTTCAGGCTTGCTGTACATCGGCTTGCGTTCAGGTCGGCCAAACATGCTCAGCATGTTCGGCCGACCTGAAGTGCAGAAAAAAGTTAAAAAATTTAAAAATAAATAAAAAATGTGTAAAAAAATGAATTAAAAAAAAAGCACAACACCTCCCTCCCCCCACACACAACATACACGTGCACCATATTGTGGTGTACGCCATGCACATGCGCTGCAGTGCGTTGTTCGAACGCATCGCAGTGCATTATTTTCTTTTTTTTCTTTTAAACAACATTAAATTAACTGTGGCAGCGCATGGCAAAGCTTTGTGACACATTGCCATGTGTTGTGATACCTTGTGTTGCAATTAAATATACACCTGTATTATTTTATCACAACACAAACACCAACACAGCGTAAAAACAGTTACATAAGTCGCTTATTTACAGTTTTGCATACCTTTTCGCAAAAAGGCGCCATTTCAAATTTGCAAATATTTGTTATTTATTAACTCAATACAGTTTTATCTTTTAGATTTAGTCAGAAAATATTTTTTTTGTGCGCCGATACTGATTTTAGTGTGCATTTATCAATTGAATTGTGTATTTTTATCAGTTTAATATTAATACCAGCTGATTTGCAAAATGTTCTGGAGGGCTTGGCAGAGAAAGGGTTAAAAATTGGATCGGCTGCCTCAGATCCAGCACTTGGGGGTCCTGAAGCAGCCTTCCGGGGACCTGGCAGTAGCTGTCTTCGACACTGCCTGACAGGTCCCACATGCCCCCCTCCTCCTCCTTCCTGGTACAGGCAGAGCTTGAGGCAGCCCCACACCTTGAATACAGCCTCAGAGCTGGCACGAGACCGGCACTCGCTCCCTTTGGCTCACTACGCGCCTGTAGTGCAGGCTCAGCCCAGAACCTGTCAGAGCCCTGGAGAGACACAATATGTAGCCCTGCTGACATCTGTATGCAGCTCTGGTGGGATCTGGATTCCAGATCTCACCCGGCTTTGTCCAGATCTCGCCCGGCTGCGTCCAGATTCTTAACGAAACCTGGTGAGATCTGTATTTAGCTCTGGTGAGAAACTGCCCTAAAATCATTAGCCTGCATTGTTTTAGAAAAAAATGTCAAATGTCCCTTTAAGAAAAAGTATTGGTAATTGGTATTGGCAAGTACTTGGTCTTGAAAAAGTGGTATCGGGACACCCCTAATTAAAAAGGAATTAAACTGTAAGGCCTATACTTATTATTATACTGTACATAATGTAATATGGGCATCCTGGAAGCCATCTTTGCTCTTTATATTATATCAGTATATAAGGTGAATTTGAGTTCATGGTTTCTGGACAAACACTAACACCAGCAATTCTTAGAGCCTTAACGACATATATTCCCAGGTTGTAAATTATGGGGGTACCAGACAACAACGACGAGATAAGGACTGACCATGGTATCAGACTGTGTTAGACTGAGATTGATGGAGCTGCCATGTCTCAAGCTTAACAAAAGACAAAAGAAATCTTCTCCATGATATTTTTTTTCATCATAGGAAGAGGAGCTCATAATAAAAGTTACCTTGTATACCGTATTATTTAGGGATGCACTGATACTGGTACTTCGGTATCGAGTACGAGTACCGATGTTTTTTTCGGTACTCGCCGATACTGAAGTCCCATTCAGGAAGCCAGGCGGCGTGTAATGACTCGCCACCTGGCTTCCCAATTAGCAGGGAAGCTGTCCCCATGCTTCTAGTCACTATGGGACGAGTAAGCAGGGAGCTGGCTGTTATGAGTGTTATGTTTAGTTTATATGCAACTCTATGATTCATCTCTGTGGTACTTGTTTCCTGTGATGCGTTTCCTGTTCCTGTTCTGTGGGTTCTCTTCTAAGGGCTTATACTGTCATTATTACCACAAAAAACATGGTGTCAGAAGTACTTGAATCTGCGCTGCTTCTACTCATGGGACGCTGAAAGCTTGCCAGTCTTGCAGTGAGAGGCCTTAGAGCTGAATGTGCCTCCTGTAGCGATTGCAGTCCTGTCCTGAAAGCTGAGCACGGGAAGCAAGAAAATAGGGCTGCAACAACTAATCGACATAATCGATTATAATCGATTATTGAAAAAGTTGTCAACTTTTTCAATCATCGATTAATCGGCTTCCGATTGGTTGGCCCTGTTCACGGCTCCACACGCTGCACGCCACACCTCCTCCTCCCCACCTCATGTTTGCAGCTGCCAAACCCGCCCGCATTCAAACGCCGCACCTCCTCCCTGCCTCACGCTCACCGCCCAAATCCACGATCGGCACAGGGACGCAGGGAAAAGAAGTAAGGAGAGGAGGTGTGGGGGGCATGACAGCTGCCGATAGACAGGCCCGATCTCAGAAACAAGTTGCTGGAAGACTGCTCAGATAAGCCTGCACTTTCCCACACATGCTGCTCTATAATGTATTGCTGGGATTTGTATTCCTCTATAGCTGATGGTACATTGTGCTGTATATTATACAATGGAATACAAATCCCAGCAATACATTATACACTGCATGTATAATGTATTGCTGGGATTTGTTGTATTCCTATATAGCTGGTGGTATTCTGCATTGCGCTGTATAGAGGACTACAAATCAAGGAATAATACATTATACAGCGTAATGTGGAATACCACCAGCTATAGAGGAGTACAACAAATCCCAGCAATAGCACATTATACAGTGGTGCAATGCCGAATACCACCAGCTATAGAGGACTACAA